CATGCATTAAAATATTGTAGAACAGTTTTATATATTTCCTTGCATTATAGTGTGTACTTTGGCGAAATACACAAAGTTTTGAATAAAGGGTTTGAAGAAAGCAACAAATTATATCTGAAAGGAGCAATGTTAGATCCAGTTTTTCTCGTTGACTCAGCTTAACCGGACTAAAAGGTTGAAGCTTTTATTTTTCTCTCTAGAAAAACACTTAAGGCGATTGAATATTGCGTGCCTAGTACACGGAGAAGCTCTGGCCATTATGAGCTTCAGTAAAACGTCGATTGCGCTGGGCGTGTCGGCTGTTGTTCTCGTTACACGAACAGTCCTGGTGAACATAAACACCCGGAGACGATTGATTAACGGACCAGCGGTTCGGTGCTTTTTCGGATAGATGATTTTATGATGTCTGAACCGGTTTCACTGTCTGTTAAAAGTGAAAACCAGACAGCGTTAATATTCGGTAATCATCCGTGACGTGCCAAGTTCATGGCCCGGATTCGATGTTTTACCTTTATTTTTAGTGTAATGACCGTTCCACACAAGGGAAAGGTTATTGATTTTAAATATTGTGGTTTTTACTCGTGCTGTTTTACGTTTGGTATATTATTTTATTTACAAAAGTACAGGAAATATTAATTGTGTATTGTTGAGTGTTGGTAAATTGTGATTTGATCTGCTTGTTTTTAATAATGACGGAATGATGTTATTGCATTACTTACATTTGGAAGGAAAAAAGGACAAAGAGAGGTCATAACCTCCTCTCAATGCAGCGAGGACACGTGTTCCATAAATATAAAATCCATAACATAAATATAAAAAATATCCATTTTTCCTCTTTTCATCAGGTAGATCAGGTAGCCCAGCATTCTTGTTTCAAAAGTAAAAGTTAGTAAAGTGATTGTGTCATACAGGAGAACTTAATATCCAACTACCGGTTGGATGTCGCATATAAAGAGTCAAACCAGTTCACCATATTTATTTCATACTATTCTTTGGCAAAAGTCATGCTGTGCCGGGATTCGAACGCAGAACAGCTAGAGAAGGGGTGTCGGTGGTTTAGTCGTTGACACGGCGCTCATCACTGTAAGGTAAAGGTCCTGGGTTCGAATCCAGCGGCCCTGCATTCGAACCCGACATACTTACAAATGGGCTTTTTTTCAAAAACACCGGCCTGAGGGTTTATATGACTTGTGCTGTTGCGAACCCTCGTAAAGAAAAAAAAAACCCAGCTAGAATAGACGCTCAACCACTGGCCAACGCGTTTCCACTTCTTTTTCTTTCCATTACCACTTTTCTTTTTTGTCAAGGATATTGAGGCTTTAAATAATCCATGAGGTATTAGCTCTTTATCAAATTAACAGGAAACTTCAAATAGAAAAGAAGCGTTCTTGAATTATAAACATTTTTTTCGACAAAAATATGGATGTGGGGTTGAAGGTTAATGTTTATTACAATTAATTAAAGATTTTAGTTGAGATGAAAAAAAGTTAATGGCACGAGCGGGATTCGAACCCACGATCTTCGGCTAGATACGCCGCTGCTCTACCACTTGAGCTATCGTGACCTCGATCCGGACATCCCGCTCGTGCCATTAACATTTTTTCATCTCAACTAAAAACCTTAATTAATTGTAATGTATTAATTGGTCAAGCGGACTACGAAATTAGTGAAGTTAATGTTTATGAACAATGTTTTTACTAGTTGGTGATTAATGTATATAATATTCTTAACGTTATTATTGTGGTGTTTTATGTTACGTTCTGATACCACGATGCTTGAAAGTAGGCGTAAAAAGACGGCAAATTTAAATAGTAGTCGGTTGAGATGCCTCAAGAGCCGAAGTCGCTGTAGGTCAAGCGATAGAGAGAGGGATGTCGTGGGTTCAAGTCCCGCTTGTGACGCTAATTTTTCATCCCTAACTAACTGGCATTATAATAAAAAATGGTTGACATAACTAATAAATAATAATATTCATTAAAACAAACAATTTATTGCCCGATTTTGCTAATAACGCGCACTACCTCCTCTGGCCTCGCGGCGGGCTTGAAATCTTCTATGCATCGAAAAAATAAGTGATCGGTTTTCATTTTATGAAGCAGAATCCCAGTTTTCAAAAGAAGCGTTTGAAGCTGTCTATCATGTGTTCCATAAGATTCATGACAGGAGAACGTGTTGGCCAATTGATTAAAATCCCTACATCCTCCACTAAACATCTCGATCTACATGCAATCGAGCATTATCGTGCATTAATACGAATTTGTCCCCAATAAATGGAGCGAATGGCACCACAGCTTCCGAAAGAACTTCTTCGGTGCAATTTAGTGCTGTCAAAGACCCATTTTGTATGATAATCAGTTCAGTTTGAGCATGGACGTTGATTCTACCTCATACCGTAACTGACTAAAAAGTCTGTGACTCACACATGGCACATAAAGCAAAGCGTTCTCCACTCGCGGTCCCGGTCATCTGATTGCCACAAACCAAACCGGCATTCATCTGTAAGGCAGCCCCCCCCCCCCCGAAGATTATTCATGTGTCCATGCGAGATGCTGATTTCGGAATAGTGGCTTTCTGTTTGATGTCTCTCTTGCAATAGAGAACCAGATGTGGGACGTGTAGAGACTCGATTAGATTAGGTTATAAAGGAGCTTGCATCATTAAGAGCTATGCACCGCGACTAGTATTGGTCTATTGTGCATCTCCATTTTTTAGTCTAGAGCTCATCGTTAAGCTTGAGGCATTTCACCAGCTCCCAAAGCATTTTCAAGGGCTTTCTTATGTGTCCTTCAAGCCCTGGCTTTTCCTCTCCCAGGATTATTACTCTTAGTCTACATAGGCCTTCGAACCAACAGATGACGTGCTCCGCTCTTTCTTCTTCTTCTTCTTGATAGTATCTGCACCTCTGGAGTTTGCAGTGACCAGTTAGTAATCCAACTATTATTCTAGTCCTTGTACGCTCTAGATTTAGAAGTTCTGCTGTTAGTTTCTGCGATAGTTCTTTGATATATTTTTCCGCATGCCTTTGTCCTGTTTACATTTCCATTGAGCGAAGGACTTATTAATACATCTTATGATGTATCCGCGTTTTTGGCCAAAAGGATTCAGGGCCAATGGGTGTCCTCATTGAACTTTCCCTGGCCAATTTATCTGCCTCTTCGTTGCTCCTCTCCCCTATGTCTCCTGGGGTAAAGGGTATTTTTTATTTTCTCCATTGTCTGACCGGGCTCTATTGCAGTTCCAAATGGCTGGACTTTACTCGATACAGAAACTGGTGTCCAGAGACTAGGCCATTCTCTATTCTTACAAACCTTACGATGACTGTTTTAGACATCACCCTTATATTACGGTCAGTTTGGAGTTATCTACCAATCCGATAAACGGTTTCATAGTGTGGTAATAGCAATAAAACGATCTTCCCTAGCCGTCGTACATCGCGGTCGACCACTACCTTCTCTTCGATCGAGACTTCCGGTAGCCCTAACGGCTGTAGACCATCGTGGATTGTCACGCCGCACACCCAGGACTTAAGCATTTTCCGTCGATGGCCAAAGCATCTTCAAGAATTTTTTAAACTCAAATTTATTGTTTTTTCAAAGAAAACAATTTAAAAACCAATTACCTAATTGGACAATTTTACTCTGGAAAGGATGAAATTGAACTGACTTTATATTTAATCTAAAAAGTGTAAAAAGATTAGTCACTATAAAAGGGGTTTTTACGGTTATTAAGGTTAAAAGTCACAAGTTATTAATCTTGTTTTACGTGTTTACATTTTAAGTCAACTATTAATCTTTATACCGTGTTATTATGGAAAGTAAACAAATAAATGAAAGCGTCCGGGTTTTATCTTCGAAATTGAGAAAAATGCTTACATACTTTCTTTTAAAATACATCCCCGCATTAGGTTTTTTTTGTAAATTAAAAAAGAAAATCTGTACTTTCGGTGGTGAAGTTGTAGTGTAGTTCACACGTTATATTTATATGTGTAGAGGTTAGTGACCGTTAATCGATAGTTATTCAGTTATCGTGAGATGCGGACGGGTGTGATGTAGGTTTCAGAAAAACATTTTCTTTATGGTGTCAACGTTTCGATCTTTTATCGAGATCATCTTCAGGGCTCAAAGTGTTTGTCTTCTGTGTAATTGTGCCATCCTTGCGTGTCGTGTTGAGAGTGCCCAACACGACACGCAAGGATGGCACAATTACACAGAAGACAAACACTTTGAGCCCTGAAGATGATCTCGATAAAGATCGAAACGTTGACACCATAAAGAAAATGTTTTTCTGAAACCTACATCACACCCGACCGCATCTCACGATATCTGAATAGTTATATTTATAGTTTGGTTTAAACGAAGGTTCGCAAAAGCAGAGGATATATCAACCCTCAGGGTGTCGCTGTTTATGATAAAAAGCCCATTTGTAAGTATGCCGGGTTCGAATGCAGGGCCGCTAGATTCGAACCCGGGACCTTTACCTTACAGTGATGAGCGCCTTGTCAACGCATAACCGTTGCGGCCACCGTCGCCCCAATTTACAGATTTAGATTTAGTATTTTTCATAATTAAATTAAATCACGAGGACCCCTGTCTTTCTAGGCTTACCATGCCAACCTAGTTAAAATATAAATTTCATTGTATACTTTCAGTTTTGTATAATTTTGAATCAAACAAACGTGTTAATCGTTTAGTACACTGGAACTCGTAAGTAGAGAAATTTATTCAACCGGAACACAGGATTTCAATCTACACATTCAACACACGAAATGCTATAAAAAGAAAACGCAGACTCTACGCCCGAGGGGCCGGCTAGTTTGCTTTATTACTAAGCCCACTCTTCTGGAAACCTTCAATTTGATGTACGTTTTATTCCAATGACGTAGCCCTATAATGAAAATCACGTACTCTATACGTCCATTTGAATGAAATCTTCTGAGAAGTACCGCTACAAAAGGCCCACTGTGTCTGATATACCGATTAAAAAAATAAAAACACCTACAATGAAAATCCAGATATTTTAGATTTATTCTACTATTTGTTAAACTGGACAGTTTTCGTTTTATAAAACAAAGTTCAATAAGCGTTTTCGTATTGATCCATTTCCAGCCAGGCCATAAATATCTGATATTCCAAACCGATTAGTCCAGACGCAGTCTTTTTCGCATTTTCGAGAATTTCGTGGACAGACTCTTTATCCTCCTCGTCCATAATTTTTGCCAGCTGTTGATTTTCTTCACGCGTGAAGTTTACATATTCATCCGCATAATCTATAACGCTTTTTTTCTTTTTCAGTATAGTATTTTTGTCTGTCCTAAAAAAAAGAACTTTTTTTTAAAAACAGGGGACAAAAAGAAATAGGATAAACGTTAAAACACAAAATATCAATCATATTATTACAGCATAATACATGAAAGAGGCAAATAAATTATAAAATTTGTATAGCTTACATACCATCATCTGATTTAAATTTCTGCTGAATAACAGTTTTTAATCAATTATAAGATATATTTTTCGTTGATTGTTAATTACTATTAAAAATGTCTGGTTATTTGTTTTAAAAGCGGCATGATAACGATCTGATTCTTAAAAGACTGATCATTGGGATTTAAAAGTGGAAGGCCAAATGTAACTCCATTAACCATTTTAATAGCGGAATTTGCTCAGTGAGAATTTTAAGCATTCGTTGGGTAATAGATGGGTAACATTTCTCGAGAAAGATAAACCATCAACCCTATTAAATAACTCTTTCTATGTAAGGTCTTGGTTGAGATAAAAAAGTCAGTGTCACGAGCGGGATTCGAACCCACGACCTTCGGGTAAATACGCAGCTACTTACCACTTGAGCTATCGTATCTTCGATCCTCACAGACACCAACTCTCCATCTCAACGATGAATTCTCAGCGATTTATGAAGTGCCACGGGGAGTTGTTTAGTGTAGTGATACTTCTTTTACTTATTAAATATTAATCCATTTACGTTTTAGTGGTCAATTGACCAAATTTCTTCTTTCAGTTTATTATTCTTCTATGTAAGATCGAGATAGCTTAAGTGGTAGAGTAGCTGTGTATCAAGCCGAAGGTCGTGGTTCGAATCCCGCTCGTGACACTGACTTTTTATCTCAACCAAGACCTTACATAGAAAGTATAATTATTTGAAAAAATTAACTTGGTCAATTGACCTCTATAACGTAAATGGATTAATATTTCACTATAAAATAACGTTTTTAACTTTAGCCGATAAATGAAAATTGTTTTTTCCGGAATAACGACGCAAGTTTGGGATAGTCAAGCTTCAAATTCTGCTATTTGAAATGCTTGACAACTCATCCGCCATTTTACTCAGAAGCAACCACCCCCGGTAATATTATTTATCTCTCTCCATAATAAATCAATATAAAATGGAAATTATAAACATTATTTTTCCGGAATTATTACAATAAACACCTGGATCGAAAGGCATCGAGATAATGTTACAAAATATCATTGATTAATTGTTTAATTATCGTGTAAAAGTTCGAATAAGTTAATGTTAAGTTAAACATAATGGCAAAATTACAAAGGCTGTTTTGGTAATATATCTGTTTAAACTGCCATTACTCTCTTCAAGAAAATTAATTGAACAAGAAAACATTTTTGGTCCTTTTCCATCTGTTGAAGTTTGTTTCTACCTTCCTGATTCATTTGTGGAACACAAACGTGGTGAACAGTGATCAGACCCCAGGCTAGCGTCAAATTTTTTTGACTTTTTAATACGACGGAAAAGTGTAGGACAATATGCGTGAGATTAACAGAGAGCGTATTGAAATCAAAATATTCTACAGGTTAATTTTAACAATCATTTAACTAAAACTGAACACTAACGTCAACTTTTACAATTCTGCAAAATACATCTGTGTTTTTTTTTAAATGTTTTTTAAAACTATAATTTTATATTAAGTTCATTGCGCTTAAGCTATAGTGATAAACATATTATTACTCTTCTTTGAGCAATTTCTGGAAATCGTTGAGGCTTTCCCAGAAAAGGATCGTCCTCTCTCCTTCCACCAAGTTTCGCTTCGTCAAGAACTGGAGGAACCTGTGCCGTCCGTTGTCGCATTCAAGGAGACTTTCGACGCTTTCGGACCATTTCTTGTTGTTTTCGACATTATCTCCCGAGCATTCTTCTTTCTTCAAAGTGCTCATTTTCCCAATTGCAAAATTTTTGGTTAAAACGATAATAAAAAATAACAAAGTTGAAAAATAAACCGAGATAGAACAAAGGCCGCGTGCAACCTAGTAAGATAAAAACCATGTGTTAATTACTAATTATGGTTCAATAAATATTTAGCAAAATAAATCTATGTAAATAAAAATATTTATAAAATAAATGAATATATTTATTTTAAAAAAAAAAATTCATTTTAGGTCAAAATTCAGGTATGTGATATCATCCGTCACAATCCACATTATAATAATTCGTTAAAAATAAATCCATTCAAGACAAATCAAAAATGTTTGTTTAAAACTTCCCTCTTCGAGTAGCGGATGTCTAATAGTTCAGAGGGTTATGTATTGCGAGAACGGGAACGAGGGCACCAGCAGATGTAAGCAATAATACTAAATTATGTTAATTGCAAGTAGTTTTGTTTGCCGCTAAACTGAATAAAAGGAACATAACAGCAATGAATTTCGCCCCGTTATTTATTTTACACTTGACACTTGTATGTGGCTTATTATTCAGTGGGTTCAAAGGTCATCACCCGCCAAGCCAAGAGTTTAATGAAGCCGTAAAGCCCTAAAATAGGTTTATTGATAGTTAATTTATTCATTGTCATCTGTACATATTATATACAAGATGTTACGAGATACAATATTATATTTTATCGGTTATATATATTCTGCCGGTTTTCTGAATAGTTACGTACTGTTCGTAAGGAGATCCCGGGGCCATTTCAGCTTCAGTCTCCTTACTGGGTTGTTGGAATGGATTGGACATCGGGCTAATCGGATAGGATATGAGGGCAGTTTTTCATGGAACTGTGGGAATTAGGTTTTAACTAACGATATTTTCAGGTTGAAGAGTAATGCTTGAAACGTAGTAGTTGACAGTGGTTCTGTCAACCTTGCATTGAAAGGACTTGTATTCCTTGGATGTTAGAAGATTTAGAGGTGCCCGTATGTCCAAGACGGTTTTTGTAGTATCATATAATTATGTAATTGGTTTTTGATTCGTGTGATATTTTTGTTATTAATTTTTCGTTTTTATTGTTTTTTCTCTGAGTCTTTCTTTTTCGCCTGTTTCTCTCTTCTGTCTTTGTGTTTTGGAAGGAGTAGGGAGAGAAAGAGGATGCAGGATAATAGTATGTATGGACGAATCAATATAAATATGTTTAGGCGAAATAGAAAATTAGGAGGGAGAGGGAGAGGAGAGAGAGGGAGAGGAGAGAGAGGGTGAGGGAGGGGGAGGAAGAGCGAGAGGAGAGAGAGAGAGAGAGAGAGAGAGAGAGAGAGAGAGAGAGAGATATGCGGTCTAGTGTGATGTAGGTTTCAGAAAAACATTTTCTTTATCGTGCCAACGTTTCGATCTTTATTGAGATCATCTTCAGGGCTCAAAATGTCTGTTTTCTGCGAAAGTGTGCCATTCTTGCGTGAGAGTCAAAGTGCTCTCAACACGACAAGCAAGAATGGCACACTTATGCGAAAACAAACATTTTGTGCTCTGAAGATGATCTCAATAAAGATCGAAACGTTGGCACGATAAAGAAAATGGTTTCTGAAACCTACAACACATCAGACCGCATCTCACGATTTCTAAATAATCATCGACTAACGGTCACTAGTCACCACACATTTGTTTCTAATCAGTAACAGTAAGAATAAATAAAGGGCGAAACGAGAGAGGAGAGAGAGAGAGAGAGAGAGAGAGAGAGAGAGAGAGAGAGGGAGAGAGAGAGAGAGAGTGAGTGAGTGAGTGAGTGAGTGATCTTTATCATCATGTACGACATTATTTATGGAAAAAAATTATGACAATAAAAAAATTTAATTCGACAACATCCAAAACTTTGTTTACCTTGCATCGACACAACCATTTCAGATTTTAACCTGGTAATCCATTTTATAAAGCAAATTTTTAAGTAAGAAAAATTATGGTTGTTTAGTCTGAAGTTCAACTTTGACACCAGTTCCACTAAAAAGTAAAGCAGTATCAATTAGGTCGATTACTGGTTTAATTTGTAAAAGACAATTAATATTGTATAAATAAAATCACCATATTGTCATCAAATGTCATGTGCCAAGTGAATTGTGTCTGGAGTCACTTCGTTTTTGTCTATTATTTTGATTCAAGATGAATTAAGTATTGAATTGATAGGTTTGTTATTGATATAGCTTTTTGCTACATTATGTTACTTTTGCCCCTCTATATATCGTTATTTGTTCATGGTGTCCCATCAAATTCATTATTTGATGGGACGAAGGTGGACAGCACATGCTGCCCATGTGTTTATCGAACTAGGTTCCCGACGGTCTGGAATACATAACTCATATAATAGATTCTAATAATTAAAATTATTAATTTATAGAGGTACCTGGGAGGATCGTCGGAATTTTCATTGTTAGAGTCCCCAGTTGAAAACGGATTTTCTTCTTCCAAAAGCCATGGCTTAGTTCTTATTATTTCATTAATTATTTTCATAGTCAGAAGTTCTTCCTCGGTGGGTGGTTCTGTTCGATTTTCTTGGCTTGTCGATGGTGCGTCGTTTTCTTCTTGGCTGTTGTTCGTCATAATCGGGTTGCTTTCTTCTTCATCACTTTCTTCATCAGAGATATTAGTGAAGATATACTGATCGGTCTTGCCTCTTACCTTTCGGTGGCTTGCAATGTCTCGCTTTTTCTCCAGTTCCTGCCGTTCATAATATTCAGGTATTTCAATTATTTCACGTTTAAAATGCCGGTAAACTTGGTAAGCTCCTGCGGCACAGATGGTCACTGCCGCTGCCTTAAGAATGGTTCTCCACATAATT